ACGTTTTAGTCAGCCGTTCCGTATCGTTTGACAAAACATGATTATCGTTGGAAGCAACACAAAAAACTTAAAATGGGTGCAAAACGGATTCGAACCACCAACGTTGAGATTAACAGGCTTGTGTCTTCACTACTGGTCTATCAACGCTTAGGAGAATAGATAGGCTAAAGGAAAACAAGAAGCGCTCATAGTGTGGTTACTAGTTTGCGCACATGCACGTTCGACGGTATTTGCTTTTTTTTGTCCATGCATGATACAGAAAAGACAAAAGAAGGTAAAAGATGCGAAAAATTTGTTCAAAGGGATTACTGTCGGCTTCACTTCGTCAATGACGAAGGATGTATGGAAATGTGGTTTATGGTTTTCGTCAAACGTCACTGACCAAACTTACCGTTACCAACTCTGGCTGGAAGTCCACCTTGACGTAAGTATCATCATCCATGATGAGACAATGAGGTTCCGTCAGCATCTGGGTGTACAGTTTCCGGGCCCGTGATTTTCCCACCATATTTTGCCGTTCGTCACGATTTGGAGCCTTCTGCACCGCGACGTATGCAGTCCCTCCCCAATCCTTGGCTCTCTGACAACATCCTTACCGAAACATTGGGATGCTGCTTAAATGCTTTCATGACATGCTTGTACTCCTGATCACTAATAGAACATCCATTCTGACCGCATTTCTCCTTCCGTTCGATGCTCAGAGTTTCGTAGTAACGTTTAATCACACGACTCACCGTTGACTGCACAATTCCGAGTTGTTTTCCGATGTCCCGATGAGAGAGTTGAGGATTATCCAGGTGCTTGCTTTACGATTGACCCTTCAAATGAAAGATGTTTTAATGTAGTTTTAAGAAAAATTATGAAACACTCAGAGATATTTGATTTTGTAGGAAAAAAATATGTTACAAATGCTTTTTCTTGATTTTCACTGCGAGGGTCTTATTTTAGTATTTTTAATTGAAAGATCATTTAATTTTACATAACATATCAAAAAATTAGCGATGTAGGAGAAGCAGTTTTGGAGATACAATTTTTTTTTTAATAAAAAATTATTGTTCCGCAATATATGCACCACATGGAAACGATGAAGACGCAAGGTAGTTCACAATGCGTCTCCATCGAGTCACAGCAGCTGTGACTAATGAAATCTATGAGTAACTTACAAGCTGGGTGCAACATTCAGTTCAGCCTGGAGGCTGGTGTCCATAAACCACGTAGACCAATTAAGAGGTTAAGAAGTTGTTGAAGACCCTCGCAGTGAAAATCAAGAAAAAGCATTTGTAACATATTTTTTTCCTACAAAATCAAATATCTCTGAGTGTTTCATAATTTTTCTTAAAACTACATTAAAACATCTTTCATTTGAAGGGTCAATCGTAAAAATCGGTCAAGAGGTTCAGAAGTTATAAATTTTTGAAAAAAGACATTTTTGAAAAAAAATGATTTTTTGGACCACCCTAACACGGAAATGGTCACCCTAATGGCGCAATAAAAAAATACGAGTCTAATATTTTTTGATAAGGAAGAACTATACCAATTTTCATGAAATTCTGAGACCCACTATAACTTTTTTCTATGGAATTGCTGTATGTAAAAACTGGTGATCTCAAACTAGGCAATACCAGCGCCTGCCGCGCCCGAACACAGGTCAAGAAAGGAAGGGGTAGGAATGTGTTGACGTGATACTCGCTTTGATGCAAGCCGAGAACACCTCTGCACTTCCACGAGGAATCACTGGGATATTGGGTAACAGGGTTGGGTTTGCAGCAGGGTTCGTTTTTGGTAAACGATAAGCTGAATTGATGTCCTAACAATCATATAACGCGATGGAGCTTGGGATTGAACCCACGGTCTCCTGCTCAGTAAGCAAAAACGTTTGCCACTAGGCAGACGAGCTCCTTTTTAATCATTGAGTTGCTGTTATTACCATGTAGTCATGTTAACAAATAAAACGATTGACGAATCTTGAATGTGGATGGGCTTGAGATTAGACTCATGATGTTCGCTCAGTAAGCAAAACCGGTTGTTCTAAGGCCACCGAGCGCCTCATACCACATTATAGCGTTACTCAAGTTTTTATAACTATTCAAACCCGGCACCGACGACAACGAAAAGTTTTACAAAATACACGATAAACAAGCGATCTTACTATACATTTTTAATATGAAAGGACCTGGGACCGCGTTTTTCTGCTCAGTAAGCAAGCCACTGCAACCGACGTCACTTTGAAATCCTTAAACTAAAAGTTACGAAAGAGGCCTTCATTATGATCCACTTTCACGCGACGTTAAATGTTTCGATTTTCTCTTTACGCATGGTTCAGGCAATCATAACAAGCTAGGACCGACGTGACGATTGTTTAAAACCTGGTTAAACAAGCTATTCAAATGAATTTACGTTCTCGAGTTTCACATGGCATGTAATGAACAACAGAAATACGCGATAATTCATATTTTCAGTGGTTGGTGGTTAATTTTAAATATACTAACGGTACTGCCTACGACTACGACGGCGATTGCGACAACAGCGAATTTGTAACTTACCATTTGTCTAGGATAAACACCTTTGCCCGGCACCTCCACTGGTTCTTCATGTCCGCTATCTGTCACTGTTTGCAAAATATCTAATAGCAATTACCTTTGTTGTAATACCACAAACGAAGTGACAGACGGAGCGGCTCGAAAACTTTGGTGACTAACCTGCTATTTCAATTTTTCAGTGTACCACATGGCAACACCACTACTACTGGATTGTACCACATGGCAACATTACTACTGTATTGTACTAGCATTTTCACCAAATGTATTAGAATGTTTTGGTTCAATCTCTTTCACACTACTCAAAACTGAAATGCATAAAAAATGACAAAATGATACACTCTTTGCACACTGTCAAAGAATCATTGTACACAAAATCAACTTTGTTCAAATCAAAACAAAAAAACTAACCCATCTGGTGGATGATGGCACAAGCTTACAAGAAAATTCTATTACAGTGAACCACATTATTTTAATGAATTTCTTTGCCAGTTAGTCGTCTGTCACTTCGTTTGTGGTAATACTTCCATGGTCTTCTGGGAGGAGGGTCGCATCTAGTGCTTTCCCCAGGAACCGTTCACGACAACAGCTACTGCCCGTCCAGTCATGGGCGTATCCAGCGAGGCATCCTTCAGATTACTTACAATCTCCGACACTCAATGCAAATCGCAGGTACACTTACGCTAGTTACACACAAAAACACACCCGTGCAAAGAAACGGATCCAATAAACGTCACTCTTGCGAAAGCACACTCGTCGTCGTCGAACGGCAAAAAAAGGAATCGGTGGGCAATTTTGTGATACGGATTTCCAAAATCAACCGGGAATGCACGACTTTCACTACACCCAACTACGAAACTCGTTCAGAAGAACTTTTGGTATACTTTCGTTCGGAAACACTTAATTTTTTTTTTCAATAGTAGTTGCAAGTGAACCAACATCATCATCGCGTAAATAAACTAAAATTAAAATTATCGCTCGCGATGACACAAATTTCTGGACCGGGAGAAAAAATCAACCAACGCAGATAGTCCCTTATATTGATTTTTTTTAGATATTTTTTTTTGTTCACGGGGAGGTACACGAGTGCAAATAGAGCTTTTTTTGTTAACGATAGTAGAAAAGTTGAAATCTATGTACACGACTAAAAATCTGAAAATTAATTAGGTCTAAGCCCTATAACTTTATAATTTCCGCAACGATAAACAGTCACTAAACTTAACCAAACTTTTCAGGAACATGGATTTAATATCGGTATACTGTCCCCATCCTAGGCCCGAAAATGGATGTAACTTCGGTCCCTCGAAAATAGTTCTTGAAATGAGATTTCCGGTGTTTTTTATTCAACACAATTTTCTTCTTTTTAGTAGTAATTTCACTAAGTAAATTGAACAAAAAGCGTTACAATCACCCAAAAACTTGTTGTTCCTCCAGGAAGCGCAGAATAGTAGATGCCGCGCACAGCGAAATAAGCCTCTTGCAATGCAAAACAATTTTATTTAACCTTCCTAATTCATTAGGAATAATTTACTCAGAGTTTGCAGGCCAAAAATTACCCCAATGCACTAGGAAGGGTCATAATTATTTGTGTGTCATAAAAATGGGGATTTATATTGCTGAAAAAGGATTAGTCTAGTTGATGCGCTAGGTCTAGTTTACACCCCGTAACCGAGCTACCAGGCACCCTGTATAATAAACTGTAGCAAATAACAGCAATGATTTTCAAATCATTATCATTACTTCAAGTATCCAGTACCAATGTACGAGTACAACAATGTTTATTCGTTTAGTATTCGAAGGCTTCATCATATTTTTTCTTGTATTTATATCAAAGAGGTAGAATGGTAATCAACTGACTACCCTTTCATATGTATGCTAATAAAAAGTGTAGACTTTTTCTACCATTTTTTAATTTGTAGAATGTGTGGCATGCACAATGCCCAGATAAGTTATAACAAATCCCCATCCCGAAAAGGTCTTTGACCGGATCAGAAATGGATACCACTTCCTCCTACATGGTAACCTTCATAAAGCCTCGTCTCTACTGATTAGACTAACGGAAGACTCCACATATACAGTTATCGACTACTTGATACAGTGGTCAAAACGTTACCATCGCAACGGAATTATCCGCACCCTGGTTGCTTCCCACAGGATGAAATAAACAAATGCTTATAGCCGGCTTTGATTTATATCTTTATTGATATAAATGATGGAAGCATTACCCCGTAAATAGCCGGCAAATTATGTTATCAGTTAACTCCGTGTTCATCATCTCTCAAAGGAATGGTCAAGCATTCGTGTCCCTTTTCAATAAAAACCTACCTCACCGAGCCTTTCGGCGCAAGGAAATTGAAGGAAGCAGCTCATCATAATAACTATTATCACGATCATCACGATAACGACGACGTCTGAATAGGACTTACAGCTCGAAAATAAACATCCTTTTTTATACATTTTCAGTGGCACGACGGAGAAAGAAAGAAGGACGACCCCGGCGTCAAAGGACCACTTTCAGTAGCGAACAAACACTTCGGTTAGAAGTTGAATTCCATCGCAACGAGTACATCTCTCGAGGTAGACGATTCGAGCTGGCAGAGGTTTTGAAATTATCGGAAACTCAAATCAAAATATGGTTTCAAAACAGACGAGCCAAAGACAAACGCATCGAGAAGGCTCAGATTGATCAACAGTACAGGTGAATACATTTTTTTTAGCACTCATTACTTAAAAGTGTCACAATAGCCTACTTTTCATAACTAGAATAACAGTGTAGAAAAGTACTAATGTTCAGCATTCAGTGACGAAAAGTTCTATTTTTCGACACTCTTTTGAGTGCAAAAGGTGTTGTATGTAACTCGTTGCTAAATTAAATTTTTTCAACACTCGTCGTAATTATCCAACTCGGCAAGCTTGCTTGGATAAACTACGGCGAGTGTTGATAAAAAAAATCTTCTTTTTGCAACTTGTTGTATAAATAGCTATTATAGTGAAAATTTGCAATAATGTTTTCTTTTTTTTTTGTTTTTCATTACAGGGCCTTTGCGGCTGTCAATGGTTTATTTTCTCCTTTCAATTCTCAGTATCCTCAAGTGCTTGGAACAAATATGACTGCAGCAGCATCGACAACACCCAGTTTCTATGACCAATTTAACGCTTCATCTCGAGATGATCACAGAGGTGGCAAATGAACCGCCAACCATAATTTGTACATAATGGTAAGTAGGGAAATAAAATCAAACTTCAGTCATCTGTATTGTAAAATGTGTTGATGAATCACGAGAAATCCATGGAAGCATTTAGCCCTTTATACGGCAGTGGTACTATATTGCCACCAACAATCAATTTTTTTTTTCTGTTCACTAGTAATATCTTTTCAACTTCTGTTTTAACATGACTTTAATGTTGGCCTATGGATCTAAGATTGGACCCATCGCTAAAAATCTGCTATTTATCAATTTTATCTAGATGAACGCGTTATTGGGACGGTACTAATGGATATTTTTGGTCGCTATTGAAAATTTAGTCGATTGCTGAATTTATGTATGGGTCCAAAATTAGGGGCATTTAGGCCGACATTACATCCATTTCCCCTACCTATTAATTATTTTTTGAGCCACAACGAACGTAAAATGAGAATTTGACAGCAATATTAATGTCATTTGTTATACAAACAAAATTGAACTCATTAAATCAAAGTGTTTTGTTACTCGATGCATGAAGTTTACTTTTCATAGTTGGAGGAAACGCTATACTAATTCAACATGAAGGTTTAGTGCGATAATTTATTAGAGACTACGTTGGTCTTGACGAGAGAAGCAAAGACAGGGTGTGTCCAGTCAAATCCAATTTTTCAATTCCCGGTTTTTTTTTTTCAGAATACTAGATATGTGTCTTCCTTGTTTTACTCCAGACCGTGCTCACTTCACTATTACCAGTTCCTCAATTGAATATGATATGACCATGAAACAAACAACTCATGGGATTCCCGATAACCTTCTATTATTATCCCACGTATTTTTACTGAAAAGTACCAACACGTCAATTGCGTAAAAAGATATTTTACAGATGGGTTCCGTCTCAATGGATCCACTGTCTTCGGTGTCTTAAATGAAAATTCTAGCGCCTTCCGCCAGCTTCAGGAAACTTGTTCCGTTTTTGTTGCTGAGCATGCAGCAATCAACTTCACGTTGGGGATGATTTCCAACATGCCCGCAGACCATTACTTCATCTTCTCGGATAGTCAGAGTTCGATTGAGACTATTCGGTCGATGAACTCATCTAATTTCCTTTCAAAGGTAAGGGTGCAGACGAGTGTGCTGGTCGAAAGATCATATATGATTACCTTTGTATGGATCCCCTCACAATGCTCAATCCCAGGCGGACTCTCTCGCAAAGGTGGGCGCGCAGGAAGGCGAATTCTATGACAGGCGATGAATTTGACCATTTAGTGTGTCAGAATACCCTTTCGAGTTGGCAAACCGATCAGAACACTGAAAATCTTGGACGGTGGTTACATTCAAGTATTCCTAATGTTTCTTCGAGAGCGTGTTTTAAAGGCTTGAACTTAAGTCGTGACTTCATTCGCGTGATGAGTAGACTTAAGTAGACTCAACCACTACTCGCTAGATCCGCATCTTCATAGAATAAACCTCGTGGACAGAAACATCTGTTGGTGTGGAAACGGTTACGATGACATCGATCACACAGTTTGGCAATGGAAGGATAATGACAGAAAGCGGCTTTTGAGTACCCCCGAGGCCCAAGGAAGACAACCCTATATCCCTATCAGAGACGTGTTGGGATCCCGAGATATCTGTTATATGCAGTCGATTTACGTTGTTCTGCAAATGTCTAGTGTAAGAATTTAATCAATTTGTATTTTGTCTCTCTTTAGTAGTTCTTGTTTGTCTTGTCCCTCCGTCTCGATGAGTCTCATCATCGCCCACTGGTCACTATAGCCGGTCGAACTCTAGACGAAACTAGAATCGGTAACAGTAAAATCAGCATGACTACTACCGAAATAAGTGGCAGCAGGGATGAATAGAAGTTTACAGAACACAGTGGCAGCAAGGCACGCTGTTCCAAATGCGGGGAGAAGCATGGGGTTGACACCTGTGCAGCTACCGCACCAAAATGCGTGTACTGTAAGGGAACTCCTCATGGTCTCTCATCGTGCCCGGTGTACAAACAACGCGGGGAAAAATTACAACGCTCACTCAAGGAACGTTCCCGGCAGTCTTTTGCAGAAATGCTTAAGACGGCCACGCCATCGACCAACGACAAAAATCCATTCTCTCTTTTGTCAGATGACGAGACTGACTCTGACTTGGCTGAGGAGGGAACTTCTTTCTGTTTTTCTGCACGGAAACGAAAACGTATGAGTTCGCGGAAAGTTGACAATGAAGAACCCCAAATCAGCTTGCCCAAATCAAGGAGTGGTGGAAAAAAAGGAAACTTCTACTCCTCCTGGGTTCCGCAGAACTGACTATACCCAGGATTTTCCACCTCTCCCGGGGACATCCAAAACCCCTGATGTCCCATTTTTAAGAACAGAAGCCCCTTCTTCATATGGGTTGTTCTCATTTGATAAAATTGAGGGTTGCTTCCACTCACTTGCTATAAAAAAACGATTTTCTAAATTTTGAAATCATTAGATGTTATAATGAAAATTAATACTTGTTAGATACAAGAAGAGGTTGAAAGGCAAGTGTTTGTCACATAAAATTTGCCAAATTCGCTTTCAGATAGTCCAGTGGCGTCGCCCTAACCTCAATCTAGCTGTTCAACAACTGTCAAAACTTAAAAAATTTAAAAGGAATGACTTCCAATGGATACAAATCAGTGAAACTAGAAGATCCTGTGCCTTTTGAAACTGATTTGAATGTAAGCATGACCCTAAATAACGTTTTCAAAGTCGTTGAACAGGTAAAAAAGTGAGGTTACGCGACGCCACTGAGATAGTCACAATCAGCGATTTTACGACTCGCGAGCGCTCACTCTGAGTGAACGCTCACGAATCATAAAATCATGTATCAAACACTTGCCTTTCAACTTCTTCTTGTATCTAACAAGCAGAAATTTTCGATATAACATCTAATGATCTCAAAATTCAGAAAATAATATTTTTATAGCAGGTGAATGGAAGCAAGCCTGTCCTCAAGTACCTCAATATTTCAGATCCTCTCAAAAGCATTGTTCTGGCAATGCTTCCTTCTGTGAAGACGCTCTTGAAGCAATTGACATTGAAGTGGCCCCTCTTTGCAGCAATCATTTCCTTCGATGGATAATTTTCCAAACGAGGTCGGGGATTTGATCACTGTTCTACAGTGGAATTGTCGAAGTCTCATTCCTAAATTAGATTCTTTTAAGTTTTTAGTTCACAATAATGATTGTGATGCATTTGCTCATTGTGAAACTTGGCTTTCTTCAGATATCGATCTTCCTTTTTATGATTTTAACATTATTCGGCTGGGTCGTGAGGATTCGCGTGGAGGAGGGGTACTTTTGGGGATCAAAAAGTGCCATTCCTTCTATAGAGTGAATCTTCCACAATTTACAGGTATTGAAGTTGTCATATGTCAGGCTATTATTTAAGGTAAGAGCCTATGTATTGCTTCTGTTTATATTCCTCCTAGAGCCGTTGTTAATCGAAAACAACTTTCAGATATCTGTTCGATACTTCCTGCTCCACGGTTGATTATGGGAGATTTTAATTCCCACGGTACAGGCTGGGGGGAACTGTATGATGACAACCGTTCTACTATGATATATAACCTCTGTGACAACTTCAATATGACAATTCTTAACAATGGAGAAGTAACACGTTTGGGTGGTCCATCCTCAAATGGAAGTAAATTAGACCTCACACTTTGCTCTAACTCATTATCGTTGGATTGCACGTGGAATGTGATCCAAGATCCCCACGGTAGTGATCACTTGCCGATCAAAATTTCGATTGCCAGTGGGTTCAATCCGTCGGAATCCGTTAACGTCGCGTACGACCTCACCCGTAATATCGATTGGACAACGTTCAAGACCGCGATAGAGGAAGCCATCCCTAATAGAAATAACCATAAAAGAGAGCTTAACGACGTGTTCGGGGTATCATCCAAACTATTTGTGGGATAGTTTACCCATCCGGGATACAGTTCGTTTATGGTATTTGTTTATTAGGGATGTCTTCCACCGTTTGAGGAATAAAACTTTCTCTCCAATCTTATCTTGGACAGCGCGCTCCGAGCTAAAACTCGGCTCAAACTCAAACCTCTTTCCCCTTGGTGGGACCAGCAATGCACTGAGGTTTATCGTAAAAAGTACGACGCGTTTAAGCTTTTACGGAAACGTGCAACACCTGTGAATTTCGAAGCGTACTCTTCTCTTGAACGCGAACTCAAGAGCCTCATCAAAACCAAGAAACGCGGATACTGGCGGCAATTCGTGGACGGATTATCGCGCGAAACGTCGATGAATACGCGTTGGAACGCGGCGCGAAGGATACGTAACCGGGCTTCGAACAACGAGAGCGAGGAGTACTCAGATCGTTGGATTCTCAAGTTCGCGCGAAAAGTATGTCCTGATTCCGTGCCGGCACAGATGATTCCTCGCGAAACCACGAATTCGGTAGACGAGATCAACCAGCCTTTTTCAATGCTGGAACTCTCATTCGCGCTCCTTTCGTGTGGCAATTCGGCTCCGGGGGCTGATAGAATCAAGTTCAACTTGTTGAAAAACCTCCCAGACGTCGCTTAGAGGCGTATGTTGAACTTGTTTTGTCAGTTCCTGGAGCTCAATATTGTTCCGGATGATTGGAGGCAAGTGAGAGTTATAGCCATTAAAAAGGCTGGAAAACCCGCTTCAGATCATAACTCGTATCGTCCCACCGCGATGTTATCGTGCATTCGAAAATTGTTGGAGAAAATGATCCTTTTTCGTTTGGACAAATGGGTTGAGACGAAACACATACTCTCAGATACTCAATTCGGTTTCCGTAGGAGTAAGGGAACGAACGACTGTCTCGCGATGCTTTCCACAGAAATTCAGTTGGCTTTTGCTAAAAAAGAGCAAATGGCTTCTGTGTTCAGACAAACTCCACGCTTGTGGCCTATCTCCATTAATTAATAACTTTTTGTACAATTTGCTGTCAGATAAACATGAGTTTTTCTCATGGAACTAGTTACTATTTCACTAT